CTCTATGTGGCCCACGGTGTAAAATGAGCTCGACAACCCCGCCTTCGAACGACTGCTGCTTGCTCCACCTCTTACTTTAACCTTAAAACCAAACAGGACCTGATAGGGTGTGAAATTCTTTTACATTTCATTGCTCATATGGTCTGAAACCCCAACAGGTTTTCACAAAGATAGCTGGGGATTTTTTTTTGTCTTTTAGTTTGGACGAGCATCAAACTTGCTGTCATTAAACAAACTGATGCAAAGCGTCAGTAATTACCACAAGTCTTTGTTACTCACTTTGACAAAATCACTGCATAACGGCATCTCTTAAGACCCACTATTGCACATCAACGAACAACAATAAAACAGCGAGAAATTGATGGCATGACAGGCAGTAATTTCAACAGACTGGAGTGTAATGCAGCTATACGACCTTTTTCAGCGCAGGCTTAGATTCACATTTGTTTTGACAGGTAATTTTGGTTGTAAATCACTATTTGAAGAGATGAAAGCAGCTTGAAGACTTGCGCAACAAAATAAATTAGGGTACAAAATAACTCCTGGGATGTGTTTACCATCACTGAGTGGTGATATATACCGTTGCTAAAGTGTCAAAGAGTAGATTTCTCCACCAGAAGGACACAGCTAAAGCTGTTTGAGCGTTGAGGGGACGGTCTTTAAACCCATTCAGCTCACTGCCGCGTGGAAGCCTTGAGCTCAGTGTTTACTGTTTCTGCCCTCTGAATATGAAGGCTCTGCTGGTGGCAGGAAAGTGCTGGTGGCAGGTGAGGGAGTGCGTGTGCTGAGTAATGGCAGGGAGGACTGACGGGGTGTTTGTGCTGTCGACTGTTTTTTTCCATTCTGCAACAACAAATGAGGCTCAGAGAGACAAAAAACAACAAGACGGGACATGTCTGAGTGGCGACGAGCACTTATGTAAGCATAAATGTGCGGGGCTATAACAAACGGAGCACGGGTGCGTGCTGTAGTCCGAGCGTGTTTACAGTTGTGTGAAATTTAAAGTGGTGTGTGTGTACGCTTACACACGAATTTGAGTGTGAATGATTACAGCTGATGATCAAAGCTTCTCAGCCCTTGTCACTGAGAGAGACAGGGCTGTGAACCTGAGATGATTAGAGGCCACGGGAAAACTTAACGAGCTGTCTACAACCCGGCTGAACGCCCCCATGCTGCGTGGCATCCAAGGCGCCACAACAAGGTATGCGGGTGATGCCTCTCATTTACATAGATACAAACACAGATTGAGAGCAGCTATTAATCTCCAGCAGGTCCTCCAGACCATTCACATTGTAGGGGGCTGGGTTAATTTCCTGTTCTGGTCTTTTCGAGGTCAAATTTAAAAGGATCCAGTCCCACATAGAAGGTAAATGAACACCTGAGGGCTGGGCTTAATTTGATATAAAATATTAATTCTTAAAGGCCCCTCCTCGTCTTCTTTTTTCATTACTAAACATCCACTCTTGTAAGGAGATTTATAATTGCTCCAGGGAAGCAACCTAAGAGTATTTTTGGGTCTGGCTCAAAAGAGGACTTTATTGATTCATTTATTTCATACTAGTAGGAGGATTTACTGCGCGAGGTCGGTCAAACACAAGAAATGAATTAAGGCTGCTGAGTGAAAATGCAGAAACTGAACTGCAGGAGAACTTTTAACATCTTTCATTAACATATTATTTAATATAAACTTACAGCCCACTTTGATGTTTGGGCAAATGTTTTGGCAATGGTGGGAAGTAAACCTCCAGCAGAACTAGGTTTAGGGAAGGACAGCCATCTGCCATGACTGGTTGGGGTCAGAGGAAGATTGATAAATGATAAATAATAAGTAAAGTTACAGAAAGGTTTGTGGTAGTTCACTGCTCAGACTGTCTTGTAATTACATGTATACATTTCGAATACAAAGTTTTCATTAATTGGCAGAAAATCTTCTTGTACTTTGGTGTGTTATGGATGTCAGTGGGGGGTCTTTAATAATTAGAAAAGCTGTAAAACCCATGAAAACACAGTTAAAACTTCAAAATCTCCTTCACATTTGCCAGGCTGATTCTGGCCCCAAGTGTTTTGTTTGACACCCCTGATTTAACCATTACGGTTATGTTATGTCGTTATGAGAGAAGCACCTGGTTATGAAATCAAATTCCAATGAGATGTAACAGAAAACTGGCTGTTTCTTATGTTTCCATCGATCTATTTTCATCTCGTTTTCTATATCTGGGTTGCAGGGGAGCGTATCACAGCTGCCATGGGACACAGGTGGGATACAGCCTGGGCAAGTAACCAATCTATGACGCGGCTAACACAGTAAGACAGGCAGCTGCTCAAGCTTACATTCACACCTCCGACCAATTTAGAATTGACAATTAATCTAACCTGAACCCACTGACTGGATTCGACCCAGGACCTTCTTGTCGTGAGAGGACATTAATACTGAAACTTTCCAGCACACTTGTTCTTTGCATCTTCCACAACAAAAATACACGCTCACTTCCCCCATTTAATTTCCCCCATAATTAAGACTCTTAGATAACCTGCCAAGAATGCCAACATCTGCAGGAAAGCCTTTGTAAGAACGGTAGCAGTAACACTACAAGGCGAGGAAGTGCCTAAATAACAATGACATACCAGTGCAATTACTGGGCATCTCCAAGACTGGCCGTTATACACCAGTGAAGCATGCCAGACGTTGCTTCTAACCTAAAGCAATTGAAAGTATGGTTCACTTACCTGCTGTTTTCTTTTATTGCCTAATCTGTGCATATGCAGTAAAACAAGCTTTACTTTTAAAACCTCGATGCTTGGCTTTTGACTTATTGTCCTAGCCTTCTAAAGCAAAAAAAGAAAAAGAAGCTGTGATTAAAAATAAGATGTGGTCCTTGGATCGTTGCTTACCTCTATCTGGGAGCTGTTGTCTGCTTCCTCTGCTGAAACCAGGCCTGGGAAGCCTTCAGGCTCCTCCTGTTCACGCTCCTGGTCCTGCTCCTGACTGGCTCTGTTACTGTCCATGTTACGAGGCTTTGGGGGGAGCCATCTCCTCCACCGGTGACTGTAAAGCTTCACGTCAACAGCTGTATCCTCATCTCTCGCCTGCTCCTGCACGTATGAGTATGGGACCCCTAAGGAGACAGAACAGGAAAGTGTGATTAATAAACAGCTCTCAACAGCTCAATTACTTCTTAAAACAGAATAACTGCTATGATGTCTTCCAGTCAGGTTTTAGACAGAACCACAGCACTGAAACCGCTCTGACCAAAGTGTTTAAGGACATATGTCTGAATACAGACAGTGGAAAAATGTCAGTCTTAGTTTTGCTGGATCTCAGTGCAGCATTTGATACAGTTGACCACAACATATTACTCAAACGACTGGAGAACTGGGCAGGTCTTTCAGGAACTGTACTAAACTGGTTCAAAACATACTTAGAAAACAGGAAATACTTTGTATCAATAGGTAACTTCACATCTGAGCAGACAAGTATCACATGTGGAGTTCCCCAAGGTTCCATCTTGGGACCCCTTCTGTTTAACATTTACATGCTCCCACTGGCACAGAGTATAAAGAACAACAAAATAAACTATCATAGCTATGCAGATGACACACAAATATATATCACAATGTCACCAGGAGACCGAGGCCCTGCACAGGCTCTTGGTAAATGCATTGAGGAAATTAATGACTGGTTGTGCCACAATTTTCTCCAGCTAAACAAAAACAAAACTGAAGTAATAGTCTTTGGTGCCAAAGAAAAACGATTACAGGTCACCAGAGAACTTCAATCTATACACCTAAAAACCACAAACCAGGCGAGAAATTTGGGTGTAGTGATGGATGCAGGCCTAAACTTAGAAAAACATATTAAGACAATAACAAAATCAGCTTACTATCACTTTAAGAATATATCAAGGATAAAAGATATGATGTCTCAACAGGACCTGGAAAAACTAGTCCATGCATTCATCTTTAGTAGGCTTGATTACTGTAACAGCATCTTTACAGGTCTACCTAAAAAATCAGTCAGACAACTACAGCTCATTCAGAACTCTGCTGCTCGAGTCCTCACTAAGACCAAAAAAGTGGACCACATCAGTCCAGCTCTGAGGTCTTTACACTGGCTGCCTGTCCGTCAGAGGATAGACTTTAAAGTTCTAATGCTGGTCTATAAAGCTCTGAATAGTTTAGGACCAAAATACATCAGTGACCTCCTGACCCAGTATGAACCTTCCAGATCCCTCAGGTCATCTGGATACGATTTTTTATCAGTTCCCAGAGTCAGAACCAGACACGGAGAAGCTGCATTCAGCTTTTATGCTCCATATATCTGGAACAAACTCCCAGAAAGCCTCAGATCAGCTGAAACACTCAGTTTATTTAAATCCAGGTTGAAGACTCACTTATTCTCAGCTGCATTTGAATAAAGCACCAAATCCACACTTTTAAGCTTAAATTTCAAAACTTACATTTTAACTACAGATGTTATCTACTGTTTTTTTAATCAATTTTAAATCATGCTTTTTATTTTTTAATGTCTCTGTAAAGTACTTTGAATCACCTTGTTGTTGAATTGTGCTATATAAATAAACTTGCCTTGCCTAAACAACACTGGTAGATAGATGTATGATAACCCACCAGAAATAAGCTTTGATTGATATGCTAGTGAACCTAAACCATTAAACCCTCTCACAGTCAAACTAAAAGGTAAAATCTGTTGCTGTGTAATGAAAACTGTCAGTTTTCAGGGCTACGATAATCACATACCACCAAAGTATTTTTACTTTCAATAAGCCAACAGTCAAATTACAGACGTGGGGACTGTTCAAGCCATTAATGTAATAAGTAACAGTGTCAGTTTTCTCATTTCTCCATCTGCCTGAAACACATGCACACGAGGAATGAGTCAGCAGCCTTCACACAGACCAGTGGGCCACAGTCACAGCTAATCATCGCAGTTTCTTCGGTCTGAAACGAGACGCCGGTGACAGGTGAGAAATGGCACTGAGTTACTGTAAACACCGACTTGATTATCTGAGCCAGAGACAGATGGATTGGAGATACAATCTGCTGCGTCACTATAAAAAATCTACTTTCCCTTATTCCATCCTTCTTCTCTCAGAGTGACATAATGAAGCGCTTTGCTGATTTGAATCACTGCCTTAATTCAACAGGAGCTAACTGTGCAGTTTGTATTTTATATAGATAAACAACTACTTCTCATTTAGATGGAAAAGCCTCAGTGTGGTGTGAACAGATGTCTGCAAAGATGCATTTAAAAATGGTTATAGTTTAAAGGTTCACTGTGGAGTTTTTAAGCTCTATTAGAGGTGCAGAGGTGCCTTTATGGACAAGGTCAGCGTGGCACTTACTGACAGGTAACAGTAACATGCAAGATGTGCAAAAATTGGTCACAGCAAGAGAAGAAGAAGAAGACCACCTGACAGTACAGGATGTTGTGTATAAATCTATAAATCGACATAAATATTTTTGTGTTTTTCACATTCAGACACGGCAATGCGCAGATTCACACTACTCTGCTTCTACACGTATTTCTGCTCGCACCAGTTAATCCATGCTCCTTACACTCAGGTTGTTCTCACTGATTGCAAAACTTCTCCTGCATTTCTGCTCTTGCTTTTTTTTTTTCAAGTGAAAGTTCGCAACTCATAGTGTGGATACAGCACGCAAATGCAATGTTAAATCCCAAGTTTGAGTCTTGGCCGGACAAAACGTCATTTTCCCCACATTTCTGTCTAAAATGCAGAGACTGCATACCTCCACCTTGGAATTCTATTGAAAACAGAAAATATTGTTTTTTGTAAACCAAATATATCAGAATTCCTGAAGCTGATTTTTTCCAAATATGGTGCAGACAATTAAAATCTTTTTGTCTGACACGTTGCAATTATATTCACTTTACTTCTTTTTGGAGCATCCCTCAACGACAGGTACTCAAACTGTAATTGACTTCATCCACTCTGCACTGTGCTTGAGGACTCTTAACATTTTGTCCCTGCATGGCTTTTAGAGTAAAAAAAACTGTTATTAAAAATGTAAGTGGACTGATCTTTATATAGCATTTTTCTGCCTGATTCACTCACATTCCGGTACTGTCTTCTATTTTAATAGAATTATATTATCACTATAACTATAATCATAGAACAACGGTGTTCACTTTCTCTCCCAAGGAGACAGACTGTCACAGCAACCGCCTCCTATTTTGCCCTTCTTTACTTTGTAGCTGTGTCCTTTGTAACCCCACACTGTGTTTGATTTTCGCCACCTGTGTCTCATTTCCAATAAGCCATCAGTGTGAATATGTAATCCAGTTTCCCCCCTCACAGTTAGTCATTTTGTTGTGTCAGTCCACTTTTGGTGCCTCTCTCTGTGGGGTCTTGTTTTGCTTTATTCCTCTGATGGGGTCCTGTCGTTTTTTTGACTTTGTGTGCTGCACAGGGGTCATCTCAGAAGCAATTGAAAGCACATTACTAAGTACTATCAGGGGTATGCAAAAACATCCTGCATTTGCATTTTACTTAATAATCCTGACTGTGCATTGCAAGACATGCAGGTTTTAACAGACAACTGAATTTCAGGGAGATGATAACAGGCAAAACATTCGATGCAGAGTTTTGAGTAAGAGAAGAGCGAAAATGTGCACGTAGAAAGTGAGTATTAGAGAGTGAGCACCATAATAGTTCAACATAACATTCTCTCAGTTTGAAAAACAGTAATATACTCCAATTATATTCTAATAGGCCAGTTGTTGTGCCTTTAGGTACAATGTTCAAACTGTTTCTTTCAGGTTGGTATAAAACTAGAACACCTTGAGCACTTTTATAAGGTCAGCAGCTGCTTCTGAGTTCCAAGCTTTTATGAGCGTATGGTTTTATAAACATACTGTAACATTATGGCTTTCCTATATATTTTTTTTTCCTTATTTTCCATAGTAGAGCAGTAGACATGATTAAAAGTAAAACCTGACAAAGAAAGCTTGTTCTCCACTTGTTTACAAGTGTTTCTCTGCTTCAGATGCATCACAGAAGGCCGCGGACGTCTGTTCATCTGTCGGTCCTGTTATGACTTCAGGCTTGTTTGCCTTCAGGCTTATAAGCTCCTGCCCCTCCCCCTGGTGACCTGACTAGGATTGGGCTATTAATGTAAATTTGTAACAAACTTAATTTTCGTAGCACTCATCCAGACACAAAGTTTAAAAAAGACTCATGGCAGAGTTTTTGGGTTTTGGAACAAGGGGAACTGCTGATTCCTCTACTCTTAGTCTATGTTGCTTCTCTTTAATGAGACAGAGGTCACTGGGTTTAACTAGTAAGGAGCATTTTCCACTTTTTCCCCTCCGTCTCTTCTCTAACGCTCGCATTTCATTCCCGCTGCCATCCCTCCTCTCCACTCCTCCCTCGGGGCCCCCCGACCAGAGGCACTGGTTGGGGGGCCCCGACTGCCTCTCTTCTCCACTGGGGAGAAGAGAGGCAGTGAGAGCTGGAGAAGCTTAAGATGCTAATTCGCTCAAAGAGGAGGCTGACAGATTCACTTTATAATGAGCGTTGGCAAAGGCAAAAAGCAAAGAGACCAATCTGCTCTTACGGGGGTGGGGTGTTGATGCACATGGGAAGAATTTATTGTGGCCAGAGGAAGAGTATGAAATGGGTCTGGGATGACTGCCTCACAATTTGCACATAACTGTTTTAGGAGAACAATAAAAAGTCACCTTCAGTCTCTGAAGTTAAAGACCACAAACTGAGCCAGGAATCCTGGTGTATGATCCAGGACCCAGACATAAATTTAAACTTCCATATTAAGAAAAATAACAACTCTGGGATTTGGAAAACATTTATAAGATACTTTTATCACTGAGCTATGACATAATTGTTATTTTCAATGTCGTATAATTGCTATAAAATAATTTCATATACTTCCAGATATAAAGTAGGAGTCCTCATGGCAGTGAGCCAAAACTCCCAAAACTATCTTCCAGTGTGGATAATCTCACTCGTTTGGTCTCCGTGGCCACCTATTCACTCCCTGTCTCGTTCTCTGCATACCTCTAATACTTCCTGACACTCATCCTATCCCTAATAGTCATTAATCAGATCAAATCCGTGTGGAC